CTTATTCATATAGTGCAGCTGTAGCCGTGTCGGTTCCAAAATATTAGAGACAAGGTGAGTGAGGTAATATCTTAGTAGAACAACTTCTGTTGGTGACAGCTTGTGCCTCTCATCAACAGAAGTTGGTCCATTAAAAGATATTTACCGCACCCACCTTCTATCTTATGCAGTCAATTGACACACACAAAATGTAACAATCCATTTCTATCACAGCTATAACTCTTTTAGTGATTGCCAGATCTAACCTATATATGTAACCTGGGACACCAAGGAAGGGAGGAGGGATAGCTCAGTGGTGTGAGCATAGGCCTGCTAAACCCAGGGTTGTGAGTTCAACCCTTAAGGGGGCCACTTGGGGATCTGGGGCAAAATCAGTACTTGGTCCTGCTAGTGAAGGCAGGGGGCTGGACTCGATGACCTTTCAAGGTCCCTTCCAGCTCTAGGAGGGGAAAAAAAAAATCTAATTAATGGAGATGTCCTAAGACAAAGTTCAGGCAGTGTGTGTTGAACTGGCCACTTGGCCTTAGAAGAATCATAGGGCTGGGGATGAGAGGAAAATCATGACATGAAGAGCACAGAACTATTGGCCTTACCCTTGGTGTGCAGTTGAATAAGCACTGGGTGATAATTGCAGATGGGTTTTAATAGACATGGGTATTACTACAAGTTTTCATTATCTAAAATGAAATATCCTTTGCTCCTATAGTGCCAGGACTTTCACCTTAATTGCCGCATCACTTTTTCAAATTAATTTCAAGTTTGGCTGATAATGGACTGTGTTGTTAGATGCAATGTACTGTTTCAATTAGCTATTAAGATGTTTTTAAAATACCAAAGTGAATCACTGACTTTGAACTGAAATTCAAAATGGAGTACATGAACGCTAACTTTGAACTCCATCTTTGAGAGGGGACTTATTTACTACACAGACTCTAGCTTAAATCAGTCAGAACCGTGTTTTTTCCCGCCAAGTCCAACCCTCAGTGTTCCATCACCTCAGAACTCCCCCCACCAAAAAGGCTTTTTAAGGTCTTGTTCAGCGCCTGCGCGGGGCGGTCCATTCCAACGACAGTTCGTACACGGTCGGGTCTTCGCAGAGCTCCAGAGCTGAGATCGAAGAACATCTATCCCGTAGTGTGTTTGAGGAAGAGGAGTCCTGTCATCGTCATTCCTATATCCTGCATTTCCTGGTGTCCATCATCCCAGAGGGTCTCCTCACCAGCGACGAGAACCATCAGTCGTCTGGACTCCCCAGTGTTCCTCCTCAAGGACTCTAAATCAGTCCAAGAGTTGTAGGTCCTGGGCATCACGCCTGCTGCATCAGAGCAATAGGAGAAAGGTTTCCGTGTTGGGGTATTGTTTATTGTTTTGTAGAATCCCACGGGAGGGTTTATGGGCCTGAGCTCCAAGCTCTCAGAGTCAGTCACTGATCCACTATTTTACTGATTTATGGTTTTGCTGTTTCACTGTGTTATTCTTGTATTTCTCCCCCCCTTCACCCTAGTTTTTCTGTACCTTTTATCCCTAATACACTTACCTTTATTTGCATCATATTATCTTGTCTTTTCTTTATTTTATTATATTTTATGGGTAGCTAAATCCACTGGTGACAGACACGGAAGGGAGCTGAGTCTGCAGCTTCTGAGAAAAGGGGCTTTCCCTGTTGTATCTTCCCTCTACAATCTCTCTAGTATTTCCTTTGAAGCGTTACCTTCTTCCCCTGGAGGTAACAGTGTCAACCTTTTAGACTTCCATAAGGTGCTTGATTTAGTCCTGCTTGGTGTTCTGATTAAAAATTTACCACCATACAAAAACAATGTAGGCCAATGGTTCTCAAACTTCTGTATCGGTGACCCCTTTCACACAGCAAGCCGCTGAGTGCAACCTCCCTTATGAAGTAAAGACACTTAAAATATTTAACACTATTATAAAGGCTGGAGCTAAAGCATGGTTATCAGCCCTGTACAGCATTGCGAAGGACTGTATCCATTTCTTGTGTCCACACTTTAAAGAGGATGTTGAAAACAGGAAAAGGTTCAGAAGAGAGCTCCTAGAATGATGAGGTCTGGAAAGCCTGCCTTATAGCGAGAGACTAAAGAAGCTCGATCTATTTAACGTATCCAAGAGATGACTTGACCATGGTCTAGGAGTACACCACTGGGGAAGAGATTTCTGAACATAAATGACTCTTTAATCTACCAGAAAAAAGCATAACAAGATCCTGTGGATGGAAGTTGAAGCTAGGCAATTCAGACTATAAATAAGGCACAGTTTTAACAGTGAAGGTAGTTAGTCATTGGTGCCACTTACCTAGGGATGCAGTGGATTCTCCATCACTTGAAGTCTTGACCTGTAGACTTGATATATTTCTAAAAATATATATATATGCTATAGCTCAAACAGAAGTTATGGGTTTCATGCAGAATTTACAAGGTGAGATGACCTGAATTAACACAGGCCATGACAGCTTAGAGCAGTGGTCCCCAACGTGGTGCCCGTGGGTGCCATGGCGCCTGCCGAGGCATCTATGTGCACCCGTGTACTGGCCAGCGGACGAGCATCCACCGAAATGCCGCCAACAAGCAGTATCATCCAGAGGCGTCGCCGCCTAAATTTGGCGGCAACGCCTCTGGATGACGCTACTTGTCAACGGCGACGCCTATTGACGTTGCCGCTTCTCGGGGGCATTTCGGCGGATGCTCGTCTGCCGGCCATGGTCTGCGGTAGCTCATCGTCTGGCGCTCGCCAGACAAAAAAGGTTGGGGACCACTGGTTTAGAGGATTATAATCACAGAACGGGATAATCATAATCCCTTCTGATCTAAAATTTTTTATATTACACACACACACACATTAATTGGTGACTATTGATTCCATGGTCCCTTATCACACAACGCATGGTCCGCTCTAGGGATGGGC